AAACTTAAATCACATGCCTGCCGCTAGAACCCAGATTTTTCATAATGAATAATGTCACAAGATGTCCAACATGAATGAGAAGTAATAGATATAAATTAAATATATATATATAAATTGTTAAACACGCTTGTGGTTACTTCAAGTAAATATATATACTTTTTTTACAGCTAATTTCATAGATATATGTGTGTGTATGATTAAAAAAAAGCAAATATCAGAGATACCCTGCAAAAAAAAAAAAAAAATGAAAAAAAGAAAAACCCTTATAAAAAAAAAAAAAAAAAAAAAAGTTTTTTTTTAAGAACAAGCCATAAAATATCTAAGGCCTAAGGACAGTGAAATATATATATATATAGAAAAGTGTGTGTAAAAAAAGTGCAATAAACTTTGTAAATATGTGGCATTACAACTGAATATAAAATATAAGTGAAAAGACGATAACAAAATACATGACAAAAAATACTGTTCTTTAATGCTGATCCATTTCAAGCACCACATGTGTGCTTAGACTAATGAAAAAATGTTGGGGGGTTAATCAAAATTCTTGCATATACGAGAGAGCAAATTTAGGACCAAAATTTACTAAAACAATTCTGGAAATAACAAATTGATATAATTTAAATCCTCAGTTCTTTACGGTAAATTATTTTCATAATGGTAAATTGTTTTTGGGTGGTCAACATTCTGCTTTCTAGGTGTTCCTGATTGTTATGAAAAACTGACCCAAAAAAAGGTATTTTAGATTATATATGCTTGTAAAACTAATTATGGTGGGATGATAATTACCACTGTAACACAGACTTACAAAGAGTATGTAATTTTACAGGAATAATATTTAAAGTTTACAGCAATCTAAAAATGTGTTAAGCATTTAAAAAAAAAAAAAATATGAGTTACTGACAGGTATCAATTTCAGACAATCCAAGTTAAAACAATTTCAGTTTCAGTCTTAAATAAAACTCAAGTTTAACTAAAATGATAGTAAACTGGGTTAGGTTTAGCATTGGTTTTTCAATTACTCTACTGTATTGACAGGTAATCTTTGATCAATTGGCTCATTTCCACTCTTAAATATATAATTAAGTACAACTATTTTAAAAAGCTTGACACCTCTAACTCTTTGGAAAAACAAATTATTAAAAAAAACAAAAAAAAAACATGAAATTAAATTTGAAACAGTACTTTCAAAAAAAAGGGGCTCTAGTCTAACTAAGTCCGAAAAAAAAATTATTGTTACTATTCATATACAGGGTACATAACGCCACACCCTTGAAATCATAGCAGGGTAGTTTCCCATTCTGGTTAAAAGATACAATAAGATTGTGATGAAATATAATTTTCATTATGGTATTAAATTAAAATAAAAAATTAAAATTGTAGTCTTAGAATGTAAAACTATTCTCATAAAACAAAAGATACACTGGCTATTGGAGTATGCAATAAAACAATGATTTGTATATTGTGGGATGATTAGCAGATTTAGATGGAATAATGTACGCGCAATGTCATATCAATTATAACTTAGGAATTATCCTTGCTTATAAATAGATTAAAAGCACAACACGGATGATCATTACTGGGAAATGTCATATCAATTATATCTTAGGAATAATCCTTGCTTACAAATAGATTAAAAGCACAACACGGATGATCATTACTGGGAAATGTCATATCAATTATATCTTAGGAATAATCCTTGCTTACAAATAGATTAAAAGCACAACACTCTTGCTAATTACTAACATTTTCTGATTGCGCAGTATGATTGCACAGTATGATTGCACAGAAAGAAAATGCTAGATGTTTGCTAATTTTGAATTCGTTCAAATAGGTTTTATTTAAAGAGAGCTAGTCGAAAAAGAAATTTTATTCACACAGAACAAGGGTTTAAAATGTTTGAAAAACTGCTACAGTATATAAGAGATTCTAGCTGTTATTATTAAATTTTCTGTAAGCTTATAATTTGTCGAATGAACGCACTTTGAGAAAATTGTGTCTTAAAAACATGGTACATAATCAAAATGGTAAATTGAAAATTTTTTAAAAAAGATTGTATTCTTAAAAGATTGTCTCAATGTTACTTTGTGGTACATTTAGTTAAAAAAGATTGTCTTAATGTTACTTTGTAGAACATGTAGTTTAAAAGATAGTCTCAATGTTTCTTTCTAGTACCTGTAGTTAAAAAAGATAGTCTCATTGTTATATACATGTAACATGAGAAAAATATATAGTTCCAGTTCACAAGCGCCTGACAGGCAGCTGTGAAATCGCTCTATATTTTCTCATTTTTGGAATGTTTCTCTCAAGTTTTATTCCTGATAGTTGGATATAGTCATATCTGAAAGTCTCCTTGACGTATGAATATAATTTATTTTGAACATAACTAAGAATTGGTGGATTTATTCTGTGTTTTCCATTCTATATATTAATTAATATAAACAAAAACAGTCAACGCTATTAACAAATACTTCCGGTTCACGAGTCGCTTGAACAAGAAGCAGTGAAATCTCTCCACATTTTCTCATTTTGGAATGTTTCTCTCAAATTTTTGATTCCTGGATAGTTGGATATTGTTTAGTAGCTAAACTTTTCACTCATAACAATCAACCAGTGTATCGCAGATAAAGAAATATGACCACATCACCCAGTTCTACGAGATCTCATCAGCTGCATAGAAGGATTAGATTTAAGAACACCAGATGGCAGTGAACGATAGCGGTATCTCTGAAATCCTGCAGGAACGTCAATTGCTACCACATTAGTAGGAACAGATGGTGGGGCCTTGAAGAACTGCCGCCCCTTCTTTGTAGAATTCAGCTGGGATGGAGCCTACACTTGGAGCTTTGCCATGACTTGAGATAATGCATATTTCTTCTAGTGTCTTGATCAAGGAAGGGGTACCTGTCTCAATGAGTGTATTCTCTTTCAAAGTTCACTGACAAAGGCGTTGTTTCAAATCTCAAAGTCTGTAAATCCATTGATATGATTTAGTGCGCTTCGAGCCTTTGGGGATGAAGCGTGATTTTCAAATAAAATTTAAAATTATTATTATTATTGTCACTTTGTAGTACATATAGTTAAGGCTGATAAAACCTAGATTAACTCATTGTTTAGATTAAAAGATTTCTAGGTAGTTATGAAAGACACATTTCTTTTAAAATATTTGTGTGAAAGAAATGAGATTATCCAAGATACAGATTGTTAGATACAAAAAGGCTGAGGTTGTTGTATTCATTTAGGAAGAGTTCCAGACACAGGTGACTAGGCTGGCAAAAATATTTGCTTTATTTGTATGGCTAGGGGGCCCACACTGATCTCGTAACCTAAAGTGGGTGTAGGTAACTTGTTTGGGGTGGAGATTGTGAGGGTAGAGGGGGTGAGGGGGCTCATTTGGCAATGTTAGGAGGTGGGAGGGAATTATCTGGCAATGTCAGGATTTCAGAGGGACTTATCTGGTAATGTCAGGATGTGGGAGGGACTAATCTGGCAATGTTAGGAGGTGGGAGGGACTAATCTGGCAATGTCAGGATGTGGGAGGTACCAATCTGGCAATGTCAGGATGTTGGAGGGACTAATATGGCAATGTCAGGATGTGGGAGGGACTAATCGGGCAATGTCAGGATGTGGGAAGGACCAATCTGGCAATATCAAGATGTGGGAGGTACCAATCTGGCAATGTCAGGATGTGGGAGGGACTAATCGGGGAATGTCAGGATGTGGGAGGTACCAATCTGGCAATATCAGGATGTTGGAGGGACCAATCTGGCAATGTCAGGCTACAATAAAAAAACTAGGGTTGAACAGTGAGTTGATGACAGGATTAAGATAGAACATAAAAAGTTAATTATATGTGTGAGACATAAGGTAACATGAGCATTATCTTATGATTATCATTGCAAAACATCCCATCTAGTAAAACACACGTAGTGTTTTGAAACAAGCCTGAATTGTGTGATACAATGTTAAACATCAGCATATTCCATTTAGCACACTCATTTAGCCTGATAAGATGAATACATATATATATACATACAATATATATATATATGTGTATTACATTGAATGTACATGGTACATACCAGTAAGTGTTTAGCAAGTTTTACTAATAGATTTTACCATCCACTGACCATTAGTGGATATGGTTAGTTGACAAAATGAAGCTATATAAAGTTATGCCACCAAACAGCTAAGGAGCGACAGCAATGGCACACCCATGTGACAGATGAAGATTTTCTATTTAAAAAAAAAATCTTCATTACATATTAATGATCAATAAATTATTTACTAAATGTAGTATTGTTACAAGATTTATCATTATTTGGCTTGTAGCATAAACATTTTATAAATATTGATCCAGTACATATGCAAAACTTTTTATTAAGTTTTACTTGGTAATAGTAATAATGGTAAATTGTTCTAAAAATCTGAATCACAATATTTGAATAAATACACACTTCTGTGATTTACAGAGTACCGGTAACTGCATTCAATACAGCTTATTAAGTGAATCTAAACATCAGACTATAGAGATTCACACTCCCTGAAATTTGTGTGTAATCCAATGTTAGGAGCAAAATATTTTCTTCCATTACGCTGAGACAAAGAAATTTGTGAACACAATATGATTACAGTTTTTTTTAAAAATTCCCTTTCCCATTAATTTCAAAGAAATATAATTGTCATGATTAATTTGGAATTCCTGTTGGAGCTTACCGGTAACTGAAAAATGTACATGAGAAATATGTAAACAACTCTGAAGACACAGTTTAAAAAACTTCATTACCATAACAGTAATTTTTGATTCTCAATTTAAGTAACCGGCCTTGAATTACACTATTTTCTATTATTACACACACTAAATCACTGGTGTACAAAGTCCTGCACCAACTGATTGAAACATTTTCATTTTCAATACCAAGAGCCAGAAGATTCCAGTTCTTGGAGTAGTTTGAAAGGAAATAATAATTTGGAACACAATTGCAGCAGGAACATCTTATGTGGCAATAGTTTCAAGCCCAGTTTCTTATTACCGGGTATAATACAATTGTAGCAGGAACATCTTATAAAGCATCAGATTCAAGTCCAGTATCTTATATTATAACAAAATGCAGCCAAGAAAGCTTTTGACCTAAGGTAAATTATAATGTTGTACAATTTTATCAAGATCACCACAAATGTTAAAATTTTTTAGAAATAAAAGAAATCTGTCAATGCCATCTCCATTTGCTCTCATATCATGCAGCAAGTTCTCTGTTGGACTTTGTCCCTCTTGTTTACATTTAAATCTGGAAGTCAACACATTGACAGCATTGTAGTTTACTTGAAATTATTGGCTAACAACTTAATATATGTTAGATAAATGCTATTTTAACAACGATGGCATTTTTTATATCATAACAACAGTTAAAATAACATTATCTTTAAATTTATAATAAATTAATTGTGTCAAATATATAATTCTGCAACTTGAACAGTTGTGGTTAGGAACTCATTGGTTTTGAACCCTCCAAAAAAGATCCACAAACATGTTGGCGGTGCTTAGCCCAAAAACATGGGATATCACTGCTGTAGTGGAAAGGTTTGTTAACTTTAAAATGGTAATTATTGGGGCCCTCAGCTAAGTGCTATTTTTAAATTTTTGTCTGTTTTTTTTCTTCTGTTATATGTTTGCTGACGAAGGCTTCCTGGTGACACGTTTGTCGTTTTGTTGCATTCCTTTTTTCAGGTTTGACCATACAATACTTTATTTTACTCATTTCCCATTTATTAACTATAGCTGTGTTGATGAACTGTATAGTAGGTTCCTAATGAATCGTGCAGTTAGCTGTTCACTCTGGTGGAGTTATCTGTACTTACTCAAAATTGCTTATTTCATTCTCCTCCATTCCTAGGAATTTGGCTAAATCCCTGTAAGTTGGTTTGTCATTACTGGAGTCTGGGATTTGGTCAATGCGTTTTTTAATAAACTTCATAAACTTTTTATTATTCATCATTTCCCTCAGGGCCCGCTGGTTACTGTTGGCTGTCTCGGCTAAGAAAAAAAATGGAAAAAATAACTTTTTCAAGCATACAAGACACCATTTTAACAATTTATTTTTTCAAAAATGGAGCACTCCATTTACTAACAGAATACATCCAAAATAATTAAAACAATCAAATGTGAAAAAATATAAACTGGTATTAAAACAGTGATTCATCTGTTTCACAAAAAAACTTGATAAAATGCAAAATATAAAAAAAATATCATAGGTTAATCAGGTGATGCAAAACTGAGTTTAAATGATTCCAAGACTCTTTCAATTCATTTGTAGTATTTAACAACTACGTTTTTTTATCACAATTTAGATTTCGCATATATTTGTAGACTATTTTCGAAGTAGATGATTTTAGTAGGTGGCATAATACTTTTCATTAAATAATAATTGCAGTTTTGCATGAAATAAAAGAAAAATGTCAAGTGCCAAAGTTGGACCAGGGTTTTGCATTAAGTCAAGGGTTCTTAATCAGGGTGCAAGAGGCAGTGCCAGCAAATTAGGGTTATTTACATTTTTAATTAAATTTTGTATTGAGAGGGTGTGGGAAATATTTTGAAGTCAAGATGGGATGTGACACCCCAAAAAGTTTAAGAACCCCTGGATTAATTTCTTAAAAAATATTTATTGTCTTACTCAAACTATGTTTCTTTAGCAAAGGAGAATCAGTCGAATCCAAGCTATGCTGCGGCTGATCTTTGACAAAAACATTCTTTGCATTATTTTTGAGCTGATGCTGACACCTGGGCTTTGTACTATAAGCTTTGCTAACACCATCTGGCACACTGGTGTAGTTAGTGACATGAAGGATAGATTCTTTCCCATGAGAAGCCATTTTTTCTTTATCAATAGTGTCTGAGAATTAAAATTTGAAATTTGGTCATGGTTACAAAACTTTCACCAAATCAAGGTGAAAAACAAAAGATTTTCAACATTTTATGAACTGTTTGAAATTATTTATACTGTAACTTTGCACACATTAATTATTCTTTTGGAAGATGGATTTTGTTACAATAAGGGATGAAAGTTACACTAGCTTTAACTTTAACACACAATGTAATGTAAATGTCTTTCACTTATATTATATCCCAAAATAATTAATATACCGGTACTACCGGTACCATATAGTTAACAGACTCTTCCAGAATGTTCCATGATCTCAAGGGCACTGAGAATTTCTCAATCAGACCTTAAATTAATATCAATATAGAAGCATCTGATACATAAACATTTATTATTTACCTGTTGAGCTTAAAGTTTCGGAGTCCCATATCTCGGCAGGTTTACACATGAGACATGAAATTATTTTTTCCTTCAGATATTTCCGGCAACATATGATGACGAAAAGAGCTGTTATCATGGCAAATGCTAATAGGATTATTAGGAGAGCTGAAATGAAATAAAATAACAAAGTTTAAAAATTAGTTTGAACAGCTAAATTACTTTCTTAAGATGTGTGCTGCTTTGGCTGAAGTGGGCAAAGCAAAATATGTAAAAAGATTTAATTTCAAATTTATGAGCAAATTAATCAGACAACTAGTCTAATCTAGAGATCTGCTTCAAGTTATTTTTTTAATAAACCATTATGAAGACCGTGGGATATGAATGATGTGGCATTTTAAAAATTAATTAAACTTATGTAGTCGCTTGTTCTAAATTGTGTTTTATGACGGCCCTCAATCATCTCACTATGGGGTGCGACAGTTAAGAAAAAAATAAATTTCTGGGAGAAAAGAGCAAAAGAGATTGTTACACTTTCATAAAAGTTGCTGAAGATGTCGTTTGGCTAAGTTAACATGGATAGGATAACGATTCCATGAAATGAAAGTAAATAAATTATTCAGATTGTAAGTGTTCTATTTTGAAAGAAATTATATTATTGGGCCTATTTAAATTAGCCCTCAACTTACTTGAATTGAGTTTAGAAAAATCAAACAGGAATCAGGAACTCCCTGGAAGCGGAAAAAGTGGAAGGTATCCAAGGGCAAGCTAATCTATTTTAAAACATTTAGATGTAACAGTACCGTATAGATGTCAACCTCCAACCCAAACTTTTGGAGCCAACTGTTCAGCCATTTGGCAACATAAAATGCAGACAGCTTTGGTAGACTTACCTGAAAGTAATTTTTTGTTTTCCTCATCTGAAAAGAAGAAAATATTTTACAATTAATCCAGGAAGTTTGTGAACAAATATTAAAAAAAGAGTTTAGGACAGTTGTTTCATGTTTCCTGAAGAACAATGAATTTTATCATGCTTTGCATCTCATCATGATATTCTATTAAATTATGTATACCACAAAGAAATATTTGATGTAGAAAGAAAACATTTTGGAATTTTAAAATTACAAAAATAAAAATACATGCAAATCTTAAAAATCTGACGCACCTGTATTTAGAAGAAAAAAAAGTTGAAACAAGAAAAAAAGAGTTAGTGGTACCTGGGGGAATAGATTCATTCTCCACATCCAGTTTGTATTCATGTGGATGTGACTCTCCAAGGTCATCTTTAATCACACACCTGTAACTCCCCTCATCTGTTTTCTTCACTGACACCAGCTGATAGGCAGGTTGTGTCCTACTGTTAAGGAGGTCATCGTTGTTGAATTTCCAGATAAACTGTGGATTCCCCACAAGTTTAGTGGTGTTTTCACACGTCAATGTCACAGTTGTACCGACCTTGACCTTTGAATGCTGAGTGGATGACGATATTTTTGGTTCTCCAGGCGGATCTGTTCATAAAGAGATTGGCATTACATGATCAATTAAATCTAAAGCTATCACACAGTTATTTCTTCTAATTACATTAGAAGATACCAGTACAAATGTTCATACAAAAATCAAAAACATAATTCTATTTCTTATTGCAAAGTTGATTCATCTAAAAAAACACACAATATTAGAGCAACTGAACAATTGGCTTTTAAAAATAAATACCGTACTTCTCAATAACCGGTATATAAATTTATGATTTTCAATATAGAATAAGAGATTTTTAAAATAATTTTTTGGGGGAAAGATACTACACTTTGATCTTAGCCAAAAGGCAGAGAAAAAATCCTCAAGATAAATATTTTTCAGCCTTAACAATTTTGAATTTGGTAGTTTCTCTTTGCATGCCATCATTTTTTTTTATGGTGTGCTACCTGGTCAGTGCACTTTAGATTAGGTTATTAATCACGTTTGAGTAAGTGAGGAGATTAGAATATACTACAGAAGGGGAGATTATATCTAGTAGGCAAAATAAGCTAACCATTGAAGGTTTGCGTTGTAGATTTAGTTGGCTTTATACATACTAGTAAATCAGATTTTATTCTTCAAAGTTATCATTTAAAACAAAAGCCGTGCCATAGGTTAAATTGTAAAAAGCTATGAAATGTAAAAGAAAATATTATATGTTGAGAAAATATTTATATTTCCATGAATTAGGCTAATTATTTCTGTTACCGTTAAATGAATCCTCTACTAACCTGTTCTGTTGCACCTTGGCCTTGAGTACTCACTGACATTCCACTGAAGAGATTCAGTACATTCAACACTTTGAGGGTTTACAATGGTATACCCTTTATGGCAACTTACAATACATTTAGACATAATGTTAAAATTGTCAGTGCAGTTAATTAGCCCATTTGATACATTCCAGCTTGAGCAATCTGTGAAATGAAGAAGGAAAAAAAACAGCCACCATTTATATCATCCTTGCTACAAAAAAGTTTTAGAGATATAGTGGAGTCAGCTTAATCTTTTTATTATTTCAACATTTTAATATTATAAACTCTATGAATTATTAAGAACTGAATAAAAACAGCTATTGATCAGCTATTTAAGGAAAAAAAAATTAAGTCATAATCAGAGGTTTTGTGAAAATCACAATCGCTTTAAAATATCTTTAATTTTTAACATGGTTAAATTTGAGATTTTATGCATTAAATTTTTTTTCCCTTTGATTTTTTAAAAGGATTTAAAAGACAAGGTATTTTCCTTAAATATTTGAATTATTGTCTAAATGAAATTATTGAACACTGAATGAGATAAGACTCATGATGATGCATAAGGTAGATAATGATGAATGTATTAAATAAACTAACGTTAATTACTGAAAGAAGAATTATGATGGGGTATAGGGGTAGAGAATTATGAATGAATTAAATAAACTAACATTAATTACTGAAAGTAAGACTTACAACGGGGTAAAAGGTAGATAATTATGTATGTATTAAATAAACTAACCTTAATTACTGAAAGCATTTTGAAAAAATTTAAATATCAGGTGCAATTAAATGTTGTAAACTTACTAGGCAGTTAGAATATGAACTTACTAAGCTGTGAGAATATGTACTAGGCAGTTAGAATATGAACTTATTAGGCAGTTAGAACATGAGTTTAATAGGCAGTGAGAATATGAACTTACTAAGCATGTAAAATATGATCTTACTAGGCATTTAGAATATGTGCTTACTAGGCAGTGAGAATATGAATGCACCAAACTGTGAGAACTTACTAGACCGTTGGAATATGAACTTAACAGGCAGTGAGATATGAACTTACTAGGCATGCAGAATATGATCTTACTAGGCATTTAGAATATGTGCTTACTAGGCAGTGAGAATATGAATGCACCAAACAGTGAGAACTTAATAGACCTTTGGAATATGAACTTACAAGGCAGTGAGAATTATGTACTAGGCAGTGAGAACTTACGTGGCAGTTAGAATATGAACTTAATAGGAATTGAGAATATGAACTTATAGGAAGTGAGAACTTACGATGCAGTTATAATACGAACTTAAAGTGAGAATATGAAATTACTGGGCAATAAGAATATGTACTAGGCTGTAAGAATATGAACTTACTAGGTAGTGAGATTATGAAATTATTAGGTGGTGAGAATATCAACATATAAAGCGGTGAGAATATGAACTTACGAAGTAGGTGAAATGTTAAATCTGTGCACCATGCATGTCCTTGTCCTGGGATATATTGGGGTATCTTTTCTTTACAAGCTTGACTGTGAAAATTTGTTCGGTTGTCTGGGCAAATCCTGCATTCTATGCAGTAGTTTAACTTAGTCTCATGTTTCACAGCACTAAAAATAAAAAATAAAAATAATAATTACTTCCAATCCATTTTTGTTTTAGCTAATAAAGTCAGCACACCAAAGAAAGTAGCATCAATAACTTTAATGTATCTATTACCATATTCCATAATACCATAAAATACATTAAACATCAGATTCAAGCAAGAATAATCTCAAGCAGAAACTTTCATATATGATCATAGCAAATATCAGCAAGATTTTTTTTAAAATTTAATAAGAATAAATGCTTGGTAACAAGGTTTAAGAGTAAATTTAAGTTACATATTTGTAACAGTGATATAGAATTCAGCTATTTACATGGTCAACACCAGACTTTATTGCTGTAAGTTTTTAATTATAAGTACCAAAACTCTTTTAAACTAAAACAACTTACTATGTTAGGTTTTTGCAAATATCAGCGTGGCACTAAAAAAAATACAAACAAAAAAACCCATAAAAATTGAAATTTATTTTTATTTTAAGAACTTATTTAGATCTAGCCTTATTCTGAATAACTATTGAACTTAGACACAATAACAGCAAGAAAACAAGTTAACTTTTAAGTCAGAATTAAAACAATTTTGATGGAAAAAACTAAATGTTTGTTATTATTTTGATTTTGCACAGTACAGAGAATTTGATATCCGGAGTATAATGCAAGGACTTAGTATTCTTTGGTCATTGCACCACAACAGGTTTATCCTAATATTTTTATATTTTTAATTCCGCACACAACACTTATTTTGAAAACTTAATATTTGATAATAATATAATCAAGAAATAAACATTATATTATCAAAAAAGAAGAAGAAGAAAAATCACACAACAACCATAACATTTCAAATGAAGGAAACCCTTTGTATGGACACCAAAGCAAATTAAGAAAACCAAAAACATTTTTTAAAAAGGTGTTGAATAAGTACCCAGTGATTCTGTAATTATTTTGTGTCAATTTGAGATTCTATAAAATAACATAATAAAATAATTACATTTCATCTTATTTGAAATGGTTGCATAAATGCCATTTAATAATTTCCAATGAATTTTCTAACAAAGAAAAAAAAAAGAGTGAACTCTTAACTAACTTTTAACATGGTTTAATCAGAAACCATATCATTAGATTTTAACCCTCTCTCCTTTGTCAGCCTTTGAGCTTTTTACAATTTAATGATCATTCCCCCCTCTGAAATTGCATTAAATGAACTCAACAAGACGAGGCGAAATTAAAGCTTGTACAGACAATATTAAATTAATTTAACATCCTTGATATTGTTGAATTATAATTTTTAAATTTAAAAACAAGAAATTCTCAGACTATTTACTTAAATAGTTAAACGTACCAAAGATAAACAAATGCAATAATTCAGTATGACAAACCAATGAGACTTCATATTCATATAGATCTGAAAATAAATAAAATTTCTATTTTTAATGTATAATATTTTGATTGTGGTGCTGAAAAAAATGCAGGATAAAATTATCATTATGAATGCATATTTCACTTGAGAGGTATTTAAGAAGTAATTAGCTTACATTTTTACATACCAATCCGCCAGTAAGAGTCAGCAAAGAATATCAGCTTATACACAGTTTTTGCCAAATCACACCACATCATTATACCAAGCCCCAAGCTTTATTTATTTTTCTTTACTAACTTTCTTTTGTTATGCTTTTCTATTTTTCTACCCACATACTATCTCTTTTAAGGCTATAGGCCAGGCCTGAACAACTCAAAATGTAAGGCAGGCCGTAATACTTTATGTAAAACTTGTGCGGGCCAAAATAAAGAAGGAAAGGACTTGTGCGGGCCAAAAGAAAATAGGACAGGGGGGAAAGCTATTAAGAAAATAATATTTAAAAAAAAAGAATATTTCGTTACTTCGCGGGCCACAAAGTGGGTGCTGGCGGGCCACAAAGTGGGTGCTGGCCGGCTGAGTGCGGCCCGCAGGCCATATGTTGTGCAGGCCTGCTTTGGCTATTGGCTGACAGTGACAGACTTAACAATAAGTTTCACTAACTTATCAAGTGATAACTAAAATAATAGTAATAATTAGTAATAGTAATAGTAATAGGCTAAAAACTTACCACGTCTAAGTCTTCTGCTCTTCTTGTCTTAGCCTTATCATACAAAAATAATTACAGTCCAATTTTACTAGAGTTAGAGGCCTATCCCAAGCGAAAAATAATTATGTATTATTAAGTATTATTTATATTATAATTATAATGATGATTTTTCGACTTGTTTCTTGGGCTTTAGCCTTAGACTTGGGCCTACTACTACTACGTTTTATTTCATAAACTTAAACGTACACAATAGACATAGTTATAATATAAGTTATATAATAGGCCTATAGTTATAGGGCCCAATGAATGATAGTAACTTACTACATTTAGGCCTACATTAGCCTACAAAGTAAGTAAGACTTAGGCTACTTACACTACCGCTACCTGACTGACTACACTAGTCATACATAGTCTAAATCACTAGTCACTAAGACTAAATTAACATTATTAAGCAAGATCACAGAATTTGTCATGAATTATGAATTGAATAATTCGAATGAATTAAGTCTAAAAGTTGGCAATATATACTATATACATTATTGATTATTGATATACTGTAATCATGTATTTAAAATATTAATAATGAATTAGGCATAATAATAATACCGTTTTTTAGACCTAGTCAGTCGAGCCTAAAACTGAATCTGGGTAGGCTGTAACTTGTAATTTGCACACTTTTTGTAATGCAGGGTGAAATAGAATTGGTTTGGAAATAATTAGGAAAACCCACCGTCGTCCGTGGGCCATGGCTTTGAGTAGGCTACTAATATTAGAAATCTGTACTTTCCTAAAGTTAAAAGTTCTAAAACTGATTAACAGCAGACCAGTGGTGAATGGTCGAATCAAAATCAAGGCCAAGAGTACAGTTTTGAGTTACTACACGTAGGCCTACACTAAACTAAACTACTAAACTTTACTACAGTTTCTAATGAGTTACTTCAATTGAAGCTTTAATTGTAACTAAGTTGTTTTGTGTGCGTATTGCATGGTGTGTGTGAAAATGTACAATTTTTATTTATTTTATGTGTAGATCGGGAACCCTTGAAGCTAAATATAGATATGACTAATAAGCTATTAAAATGCGAAATGGCGTAAACAAGTTATTATTAACGTCACTGGAGGGGAAACCCATTTTACTATTCTTATTTTATCTAAGCACAACACGATTCACCAAGATGTTTACGGACCGTGAAGCAAAATGGGCTACAAATCAGTTGCAAATATGCATGTATAAGATAGTATTTACCGTAATTTTTAAGGTTAAAACCTGGGACCTATGGGAGTACTTAGCGAAACATTTCTAAGAAAGAGAAATTATATCAACGTCCCATTTATGAATTTTCTAATTTCTTACTCTCCCCAAATACCTAACGCAAACTCAGTTAACACACAAGATGTGGCTTTTTAGAATTTGCGTGATACCCAGTGGCGCACGTTAGCTGAACGCCGCACGTGGCGAACTCCAAAGATTGCCTCCCCCCCCCCCACACACACACACCCCTCATCACATTATAAATTGTGGGTAAAAACATTTTTTAAAAAGCACCACCAGAGACCAGAGGCCTCGGGATGGTCTTTCTAACTTAGGCAAATTTTTTAAAATACTTTCTTCGTCTATATCTTAAGGGCCCACGATCAATTTATTGATCACTTTGGCTCCTATGCATGTAGATGTAATTTGCAATGTTTCTGTTCTTGGTGTTGATGAGGAAATTTCACAGATTTCCAGTGCCACTTTGTGAGGGAATCATGCACTAGGGGTTTGAAGGCTTGAGGCAATAGACACAAATGTGTCTAGTGTTGTCGCTTCAACGGTTCCCTTTGAAAGCTTGTTCCAGTCCCTGATTGTCGTGGGCAGGAATGAGCAGCTCCTATACTGGCTTCTTGCTGGTATGAGCCTGAATTGCCTGTCATGGCCTCGTCGCTGTCTATGGGGGAGAGGGACGAGTTTCTGTTTAATACTGGAACAGTGGACCAGCCCATTATTTATCTTGTACATCATGGAGAGCTCGGATTGCCGTCGTCGTTCCTCCAATGGTGACCAGCCTAGTGTTCCCAGCATGCTGCCAACACTAGAGGTATTCCTGTAGCGGTTTAGGACAAATCGTGCTGCTCGTCGCTGGACCGCCTCCAACCTGTCAATGCTCTTCTGGGTAAATGGGTCCCAGACTGAAGATGCATAATCTAAAATCGGACGGATAAAGGCTTTATATGCTCTTTCTTTCACACAGGACGCCTCCAACCTGTCAATGCTCTTCTGGGTAAATGGGTCCCAGACTGAAGATGCATAATCTAAAATCGGACGGATAAAGGCTTTATATGCTCTTTCTTTCACACAGGAGTTGCCAATCTTTAGATTTTGCCTTAAGAACCCTAGGGTCTTGTTTGCTTGGTTACATACATTGTTAATATGCTCGTCCCAGCGGACCTCTCTTTGAATGGTAACACCCAGGTACTTTACGGAGGAAACTTGCTCAAGTATATGGCCGTGCAGTTCGTATTGGTAGTGTAGAGGAGTACAACTTCTAGAGACTGATAGTGTCTGGCACTTGGCAGAATGAAATTCCATGTCCCAGCTCATCTCCCACTCAGCTAACAGATTGAGATCCTGTTGTAGCTGGTCCTGGTCAGATCTGTTGGCGATCGTCCTATACACTGCTGTGTCATCTGCGAACAGTCTTGCCTGTGATGTCAGTTTCTCGGGTAGGTTATTAATGTATGCTAGGAAAAAACAGCGGCCCAGGACTGATCCCTGGGGGACCCCTGACTTCACATCGACAAAGGAGGAGCTTATACCGTCCACCACTACTACTTGGCGTCGGTGGCTGAGGAAGCTAGAAATCTATGTTTTAGTGGTGCCTTGGATCCCATATCTCTGGAGTTTGTGTAGAAGCAAACTATGATTCACATGGTCAAATGCCTTTGCGAAGTCCATTACTAGCACGTCAGTCTGCTTGTGGTTCTCCAGATTGGTCATCAGGTCTTCTACAAATTCGTGAAGCTTGGTCTCACATGATCTGTTGACTCGGAAGCCATGTTGACAGTCATTGAGTATATTTTGGCTTTCAAGATGCTTCATGACTGTGCTTACGATTATGTGCTCTAACAGTTTGCAGACCACGCTGGTGAGGGATATCGGACGATAGTTGGCAGGGTCGGAATGCTCCCCTTTCTTTTAAATTGGAGTGACAGGCGCTGTTCTCCAGTCTGCTGGAACATTTCCTGTGCATAGTGACGATTGGAAGAGGATTGTCAGTGCAGGAGCGATTTCTTTGGCTAATTCTTTGAGCACTCGTGGTTTGTCAGGACCACATGCTTTGTAAGGGTTAATGGTATTGAGGAGGGCAAACACACATTGTTCTGATGTCTGGATATCTCCCATGCCAGGGTAGGCTCTGTTCATCATTTTGGTCTTCAGAAGGAACTCAGTCTCAGAGTACTCTCTACCGTCACCAAAGACAGACTGGAACTGCTGATTGAGTATCTCCCCCTGTGCTTTTGGGTCAGATGTCAATTGGCCAGTAGTCGGGACTTTATTTAGTCCATATGAGTCAAACACAAGGCCCGCGGGCCACATCTGGCCCGCCAAATAATTATATCAGGCCCACGAGGTCTTGACCGGCGTACAATTGTATCCAAGTTACGCTATGATGTTTCCAAATGAACACCTTTATGAAAAACTTAGCTTATTTCGCGCTGAGTTCGCACGGCGCTTGATTGACTTTGAAGTAAGCACAGAAATGTAATTTCCAGCTGTTTCGTAACGCATTTATCATAGACATAGAAAATGCACCTATAATTTGCATATGGAGCTAATAGAACTGTAGTGTAATGGGACACTAAAGTCTTACGTGACCCCGGGGAAAGGGTCGTTCGAACCCCCCCCCCCCCCAAGGTGTCGCGACCAATGACAATGCTTCCTTTAGGCTGCGCGGCCGCGCAGCAATCTCACAGACGCTGCGCAGCAGTTTTGAGTAATGCGCAGCTAATTTCCACTTAAGTGTCTGTAGGCTGAAAATTTTGCGCACAAAAAAATTGATGCTGTAAAAATTTGCACACAACTTTATGATGTTGCACACGAACCAACAAATCTTAGAGGGAACATTGGTCGCGACCCACAAGTTGAGAACTGCTGTTGTAGGCGGATTATTTAACATTGACCTCATATTCAAATATACCTCAAATGTACATTTATTTTTCACAAATAGACTCAAGCTGCGTAAATCAAGCATTTCATTGAGAATTTGTTAATCTCATCAATCTGTTCAAATACAATTGTAGCCAAAATAGTAAATCTGCAAATAATACAGTATACTTATGTATAATATATCTATATTTTTCTAAGTCTAACATTGATGGTATGATACTAAAATAAAGTCAAAAATTTAAATATCTAGGTAATATAGATGTTAATATTATAATTCATAATATGAAGCTGAGCCATTGGCAGTCAAAATACACATGATTCAGTCTATCGTTTATAAAAAAATCTTTTAAATTTAAATCTAAATTATTACATGTTTTGTTATTTTCAATTTATTAAGTATAATAAACAATTCTAGTCATAAAAACATAACTATAACAAAAAAAACAACAACAAATAATGCTGCTACATAGGCCTATTTGTATCAAAGATGTTGCTGCTAGCAATAGGTTTCATGAATTCAATTTAGTATAAGGAGAACCCTGTTGAATAAATATTGCAGTTAACGTAGCTATAGCTGGTAAAAAAAAAAAAAAAAGGGAAAAGTAACTCTGGTTGAACGTGGAATAATTGACTTTCATCACCGCAACATTGGGTTACACTTTTACAGTGCATTTATTGTATAAAAGATGTTGCTGCTAACAATAGGTTTCATGAATTTAATTTAGTATAAGGAGAACCCTGTTTAATAAATATTGGAGTTAAAGTAGCTATAGCTGGTAAAAAAAAAAAAAAAAAGGGTAAAGTAACTCTGGTTGAACGTGGAATAATTGACTTTCATCACCGCAACATTGGGTTACACTTTTACAGTGCATTTTAATTTGTAAGCGCTAAAATAAAAGGTAAAACTAATATAACTAATTAATATATAATTTTATGCCTTTTATCCTTTTTCAATATTAAGATTTTATCTTTGCAACTCTAGGAGGGTAGGGTGACATTATTTATATCTTTATTATTCATTATTATTGGCGAGGCCAAGCGGCCAAGGCCAAGGGCAATGATAATTAATTTTATAAATTATAATTTATATTATTATTACCGGTATTATAAATTTATAATATAATTTAAATTTTAAAGTTGCAATGTCAAAATCAGACTAGCTTAAGCCATTAAAAGGTTATGAGGAACCGGTCTTTTAGTTTTTTTAACTTTGGACTTTTGCTTACAGTAGGGGCTGAAACTGAATAACATATAACAGTGAATAGCTTGAAGGTGGCGTTACTAACTTAGGCTTAACTTTCTTACACCTTAAAATTCAAAAAAAAAAAAAAAAAAGAATTTCTTCTATCAAAGAGAAGTTTAAACGCACTTAAAAGTAGAAAATAATTTTAAAATTCTTAGAAGTATTAAAATGCATTACAGTACAGTAGATACTTCGGTAAAGCAAGGGACAGTACAGGTACGCAAAGAAAGACTATGCAGAAGTGTAGCTAAGTCTAAGTAGACGAAATTTAAAGTTTTATTTTTAATAATTTTTGAAAATATTTTCCACTCATACTTTCTCTGTGTAATGCATTTTAAGAAAGTCTTTTCTAAAAATACATTAAAAATTTTCTATTTCTACTATTAAGTATTCAAATTTTAATCTTTAACTTTAAATTTCGTTGTTTTAAAAATTAAATAATTCTACTTTTGTAGATAATTGTAGATAATGCTTAAAAAAATCCAGGTTAAAGTGACTTATCCCTCTACCTAGGCATAAAACTAAAGAGCATATCTTAGCTCTCCTACCCGTTCTTTGAACCACGATCAACTGAGTGACTGAGTCACATTTCTCAACAAAATAAATTACGCTGGACAGAAAAACTAACAAGATGGATATGCGGGTAGAAAGAAAGTCTTTAAAGGGGGTACGATCATGAAGGAAAAAATATCTATTTTGGAAGAGAAAAAAGACATAATGGGTTGGTTAGGCACTCCAATACTGGACTACGCGGGCAAAAAAACCCGCCGGCTTTGCGTGGTACATTTCTGTGACCAGCCGTGAAGGGCGGGTTTCGGTATGTGTCGGGCTTTTTCGTTCCTATGCGTCATTTTCTAAAAATAAATAAGTTTCAGTCTTAAACTTTATTTGCTGAAGAATTCCGGTCACAGTGGTATAAATGCTGAGTCATTCTGACCTGTTTCAGACGAACAGTTGGAGCATAAACTTGGGTAAGTGTTATGTCGATCGGTTATTTTTGTTATAGTCAGTAAAAGGTTAAAACTTTTACATAATGCAAGCTTGATCACTTTTACTTCGAAATCATTTATTGTTAACGTTAGTGGCTATTTCAGGAATTTAAGATATCGTTTGAAAAAAAAAAATCTACATGTTATGAAAAAACGGCGGCCATCTTTTTTTACATAATTTTATTGACGGGAGGGAGGTGAAATTATTTGGAAATAAACGCTTTAACTTTAAATAAAACATTTCTAAGTCATTGAAACATCTGATTAAACAAAATTTTTTGATTCTAATATGAATAAAAAATATAAATGTATTCAAGAAAATATTTAAACAAATATTTTTTAGTTTATACAATTATTCTATATTAAACAAGAAATTGATCAATTTGCAAATATGAACTCCTCTTCAACAACAATAATGTATTTATTAGCTATTAATAATTATTAGATAAACTAATACTACTAGTATTAGTTATAAGGGTGTATTTTTAGACTTATATACTTGAATTAAATTAATGAAATAAATACATTTTAATACTAGGGAAATTTCTTTTATTTGTGTGATTTGATTGCAAACAATTTTTTTTTGTCAGTCCACTCTAGTTATTATTCTTTTATTATTAGATAAACTAAGACTATACCTATATTCATACTACCTAATTAAATATATTTAACACTGGGGACATTCCTTTAATTTATTTTGTCTCATTAAAGTGATTTAAAAAAAAAAACAATTTATATTTGCAATGTCATTAGCTTATACTTCAGTCTGTCTTGAGCATTTTCCTTTGTTTTTGCTATAGATTCCACGTGGGACATGCATTGCAACCTGAAGGAGATCAATAAACAACCCAATTTGATGTTAACAATGATGTTGTTTTTAATCTACCTATCGATGAGAATGAAGTGTTGCCACTGTTGCTAGAACTCCGGAGCCACAACCTTGTCCACGATCTTTTGAGACAGTTATTGCTCTGTCTTTAGGATATGTTGAGACCACTGTTAAATTATTTTGTAAGTTGATATTATTTAACATAGATCATGAAGAAATAACATTGTCAATTTTAGTTTCTAATGTTTTTATGTGAGATTTTCATTTTGTTAATTTATATTTTGATTGAAATTATTTCAATTTTCAGTTCACTAATTTTAAAATTTAATTTTTAAATATTTTGTATACTTTCAGCTGGACAAGGATACCATCTGTGGACAAGGACACTATCCATTACTGTGGATAGCTATATTGCATTGGATGTTTTTATGTTTGTATTTAAATGTACCAGTACAATAATGTCGATGAGAGATAGAGATTAATTTAATAACTTTTATAGATAAAATGTTTTTTAATTTTGTATAGCATGATTTAAATTGCTTTTGTAATACTTGAATATTCTGTTACATTTGGGTTGTCACTATCTATTTGTATTGAAAATTTCATTGTAGTAGCTTTATTAGTTTAAAAGTTATTTATTTAAGTGTAAAAATGTCTCGGCCGCGGTCGCTTTTCATGAAATATTTTTTCTAACGTCGCATACATTTTTATGATCTGCATTTTATTTATTTTAAATTTACCTTACTTTTAGATGGACATTATCTATTTGTATTGAAAATTTTATTACAATAGCTTTATTAGTTTAAAAGTTATCTATTTAAGTGTAAAAATGTCTCGGCCGCAATCGCTTTTCATGAAATATTTTTTCTAACGTTGCATAAATTTTTCTGACCTGCATTTTACTTATTTTAAATGTGCCTCACTTTTAGATGGACATTATCTGTTTGTATTGAAAATTTTATAGAAATAGCTTCATTGGTTTAGTAATTATGTCATTTTTTGTAAAATTAAATTTTTCCACTACTGTCGTTATCCAAGCAATGTGCAAATAAAATCAAATTTTTTCAAATATAATACGTTAATTCACAATTCATGTGTTTTGTTTTGTTAAACATTGTATTGTAAATGTTTCCTCCAAATTTGAGAGCTCTAACTTTAATAGCCAAAAAGATACATGCAAAATAGTACTAAAAGAGTAATAATGCGATCACAGTCTTAAAAATTAAATACAAAGCTGAATAGTGGGGAAAAATAAATCACTAAAAAATTCATAACTTTTCTCCTATAAGTGATAGAAAAATTATCTTGGTGTCATGGGAAAGCTTAGAGCCAGCTCTTTCCAATGATATGCTCTTTGTGTATGTCAGATGTATTTGAAAATTTGAGTTGGTGTGCCTAGGTTGGTGCCAAACATTTCTGCTTTCATATCATTTGTGGTTGTCATGATTTGACTAAGTAAACATTGAGCAGATGATGTCACTGTGAATTGAGAGGAAAGAAATTATTCAGAGTAAAATTATAAATTTTATTTTAAAAACTGTATTTTTTTGTTTAATTTAATTAATCCTACTTAACTTACTGGAATTGAGTTTAAAAACAACAAAAAGTTTTTACCCATTACTTAAGGAAATAACTATTTTAATGATTAGCCTGATTCATTAAATCTTGCATTTTAAAGAAATTAAGCACCCTACTCTTAAACATTAAATTAGAATCTTGTTTCAGTATCAATGAACTTGTACATCTTCCCACAGCTCCCGACAGTTCTCATTAAAAAAAATTAAACCCACAATATATTTTAAGGTCAATTTTGTTTTCAGAAACAGAATGTCATTTGATTCCCTACCTAATAAAGATGAAGTGGACCCTGAGGTTGCTAGTTTCATTCAGATGGAATCCCAAAAAGCAGAACTTCAGGCCCAGGTAATCATATGTTATATCCTTTTAAGATGTTCTGCTTTCTGTTTCAATGTGGTTGAGCTTAAATATTAAAAGCACAAATATTTCTATGTTCTTAGAACTTAATAGGAATATATATGTATAAAAAATCACTCTTATAACATTGTAACCATGGAAGAAGCTTGTGATAAGTAGGTTTTGGTAGAACCCTGTTAAAATGAGACTCCTTATTTCTGAATTGCTTGCTAAAGCAGTCTGCTAGGTCAACATTGTCCCAAACTAATCCCCTTTAATTATCTACCGCAATTTTAGAATATTCTTTATATCCCTTTCATGCTATCAAATAGTATCAGTAATTAGGATTAACAATTTAGGATATGTTTAGAAGTATTTCAACTTATTGATCTATTTATTGAAAGTCATGAAATACTATGGCAGCTATGTTCATGTATTTTGCAATAAGTTCTACTAAGAGAGCTGCAACTGTTTGGAAAACTTTCAAGGGCTGTGGCACAATTAAAGTAGAACACTCACATCAAGAATATTCATAGTTGTCTTGAATGACAAAATCAATTACGCTTAAATCATGTATCCTCTATCTATTTACTTTTTTCTGTAATTCTTTTCTGTAATTCAGCGTTAACATGTTCCCCTGTTAAAACCAACGTCCCCTGGCCCAAGCGTTGGCACAAGTTCAGGAATAATGTTTTAGGAAAAAAATATTTCTTTTCATGACAATATTGTTCTGAACTTGCCCTCAAATTTAAAAGATGAATTCTACTCTCGAGTTACACAAATTATATACCTTTTAGAAATATTTTTAATTTAAATGCAATCCTTGTGGGAAGTCCCAAGGTAACAGTAACAAACTTCAAAAGTCAAGAGTAGTACCACAATTTCAACAGAAGTTATAACTTTGTTGTGAATGTGTATTTGATTGCTTTAAAAGTCTCAGTAACTTTCACTGACCAATAAAAATAATCTAAATGAAGATGCAAAGGTTTCAGTCTAAGAACATGGTTCTTCTTTTTATAAGAGTATGTACTATTCACTTCTCCTCATGTGGAGAAATTTCTTTGAATAAAGAATGTTCTGACATTGACTACACATTTTCTTTAAAACTGAATATACTTTTAGATATTTCAAATGATTATAGTTTTACAGACAAAATTTCAAGGAATGATTTGGCTCAATTTTTGTTTTATTTTGTTGCTACATTCCTGTTATACCCTAAAGTTAGCATTTGAAGCTTTGACATTGACCATGTGCTTCCGAACAACTTACTTTTGTGAGTAAATTTTGTAAAAAAAAAAAACAACTAACTTTAAAAAAACATGCCAACTTTGCAAGATTACACATGCAATTCAATAAGTAAAAGGAGGGAACCGTAACTTTAGATATTCAAGCAATTTCTAATTCAAAGCGGGCCAACCTGACTAATTTCTGCATAAATATATACCCGGTACTGATTTTTTTTTTCCGTATAAAAGTGACACCTTTTTGAACAATAATGTAAAATTTGTCATCATTAATATTAATATGTTCATAAAATTATTATATTTTAGTGTCAGGAATATATTACTTTCTGGTGCTCGGGCTTTTAAGTTAAAATAACAATCGGAATCCCTGACTTGACTGACTGCCATTTATTACACTGTTTAACAACTGATGGCATATTATGTTGTAATGCTGCTGTTTAAGAAGTAAAGCCCCACAACCATTTTCTTTAAGCTTTACTTTTTTTGGTCAAAATTGACACACATTTTGTGTCTCATGTTTACTGAGCCAATTGCCATTTTAAATAAAAATAATTTATGCTTCAATTTTATGTGTTCTTTTAAAATAAGTTCAAGAGAACAGCTTTCAAAAAGTGGATCTTCTATTATTATTATCTGAATTTAATTAATTTTATCCTTTGATTTCATCTCATTTTCAGGTTCATAAGTTGGCAGATGTCTGCTGGGAACAATGCGTAGACCGCCCACGGGATAAACTAGACAGTAGAACAGAGAGCTGTGTGTCCAACTGCGTGGAAAGGTTTATTGACACATCATTAACCATCGCAACACGTTTTCAAAAACTGTTACAGGGAGCAGCTAATATGTAGTAGTTTATTGCAGTTCATTTTGTGTTCATGGTTGATTCATTTTGAGTAAATAAACATTTCAATTTACAAACTGTGACTTCATCCATCCATCTGTTGAGCAGTTATCTAAACGTGAATGGTTGGATTAGTGGATATAAGCAAGAGTGATTCGTCTTTATAATTGCTAATGCATGTATATAATTTTTCTGTGTATTTTAACAATAAATTATATGTGCATCTGCATTTTTTAAATTTTAAGATGTTAGCAAAGAACACTCTGATTTGTATCAGAATCCCTGTCATGTTGACTAGCACTACTAATTGATAAACTGTAGGGTAATTGTATGCTTGTGCTAGTGGATCAGCTGTACAGTAATTATGATTGTTTATTAATAGGTCATTTGTACTGTAATTAAAATGTTTCTTTTGTTTAGTTGCTATTTTGAATTTGCAAATATTTGATTACATTAAAAGTTCAGGAATATGGTTTGACTTAGTTATTCATTTTAAATATTTACCTCTTTATGCAGTCCCAACTTCGCTGGGTGGGACATGTTGTGGAAATGTTAGACAACCGCTTGTCCAAAAGAATGTTCTATGGTGAGCTCGTGGACATAAGAAATGCTTTAAAGACAACCTAAAAGCCTCACTTAAAGTGTCTGATATAAACCCAGACACATGGGAAGAATTGGCAAAGGATCAAGCATCGTGGCATTCCCCATTACACAAAGGCACCATACAACGTGAAGCAAGAAGAACAGCTGCTGCAGAGCACTAAAGAAATGCTAGAAAACCTGGTTTAATTCCACACCAGGAGATGTCCCATCAATTTCTGCACTTACTGCACAAAAATATTTAGTTCTAGAACCAGTCCCATCAACCATCTGTGCACCCACAGCCAAGTTCACATTAGTGGTGGTCATGGTCGATTTCAACTGACTAACTATATGTTTAAAAATTTACACTACGCAAAAATTTGTGAATGTTTTTTGTTGCAATTCTAGGTAACATGACAAAAACTCACAACTTTTCTGTCATAAATTAAAAGTTATAAAACAGAAATACAAATTTAATAAGTCAGTGACACCAAGAAATTGTTTTCCCCAATCTTTTATTTGAAATTTGAGCTGTGAATACAAATATGTGACAGACATTGTGAGGCATTCGTATATATGCAATGGGATCCAATAGGAAACTGAACAGACTACCCACCAAAGGGGGTGCAAGCTGAAAACTGCCCATAACCAATAATAATTGTATTTCTTATTTATGGTAGCCATTGACAAATTGCCTGTTATAGTGAATGCCATTGTGATCTCTTTTTTTTTTCTTTCTATTTTCTATCTGATCAATTATAAATTTATTTATTTTTAATATATCAATGGGCAAAGATTTCTATCTTGCCCTATGAAATTATGAATACCGGTACAAAATAAAGAAGCAGAATTCTCAAACAATATTTTTTATTGATTAGAATAATTTTTTTCTAGAGATGTTAAAAAAAACAACAATTGTGTCGGAAACCATACATTTAAAAAATAAAAAAAAATTAAAGAATTTTATTTGTATGATTATCACAAAAAAAAAACACTACACAATGTCTCAAAAAAACACTACACAATGTCTTGACAGCATGGTTTTGGGCAGTTGTCAACATGATCACCTGTGTAAGGTAAGCATAAGGTGAGTGTACTGAGCAAAAGTGTGACAACAACTGAGTGGCACACAATCAAATAGCTCTGAGATCCATACCAAGAATACAACAGAAACAGTGAAAAACAATATGGCATTGGTTAAGTACACTTTGATGATGAAACTCGGATGAACAGCTAAGTTATAAATATCAAAAAGGCTTATTTCTAGATTGTCGTTTCAGAGATGAATATGTTACCTGATTCCAAACCCATTCTGACTTATTAAATGATGTAAAATAAAATGGGGACATGCCTACAAGCTCACATTCATTCCAAGGGTCTTGTGTTCTATGAAACTAATAATTTATTATTTCCTCAATGGTGCTGTATCAATATTGGTTAAGAAATTTGAAAGATATTAAGACTCTCATTTGCCTTTCAAAAAAAAAAGAAAAGCATTTAGGTAATGCATAATTATAGTATTCATGTAAATATGAACCAAAAAATGCTGTCCACACCTTTTGTGCATTGCTACAATTAGAATAAAATAAAAGATAATTGGTACTTACAAGTTATATTTTACAAAATTACTTTCAACTGAGGTCAATGGTGTTTTTTTTGTTTATCTATCAATCAACATTACCATCTTTCCAGAATATGATTACAACATATATATATATGTATAATATATATACATTTTTCACAATTTTTTCCATGATCAGATAAACTATGAAAGAAAAAGTTCTAATCAAAATCTGATGGTAAATATGTTGCTAGTTGAATTGATCAAAGAATTAATTCGTTTCAATTTTTTTAAGGTCAATACCAAAATACCATTTAAATAAAAAGCAATAATAAAGATGCCATCTATTATTTCCACAAAAACATATTTAATATATATAATATATCCTCCCCATGTATTTTCTCCCCCAACCTGTCCCCTCATCCACAACTGAAAAAGCTATTAAAATACTTATCATCAAAGCATATATTCAACCAAGTGAAACAAATATCAATACAGTCAATAGTAATAACAGTATCTTCATCCACAAACTTTATTCTTCAGAATTTCTTTTTGGAAAAATAATAATTAGATTCTGTATTTTACTGGTATGTATCTTTCATTTAGTCCTCAATTAGGAGATCTACTATGACACTTAAACAAATCCTTTATTTTTAAAATGAAATAATGTTGAGATCTAGTCAAAATCATAGGACTGGTGCATCAGCCAATTTTTTTTTCTTTCTAGCCATTCCTGGGTGAATACAATACAACAATTTTTGGCTATTAGCATGCCAATAGGTCAAAATTTATGACTACCATTTTTAACTCTTTTAAGGAACCCCCCCCCCCCCCCCCCCCCCTCCCCCCCCCCCATCTCCATGCATCATCCAGCTGGCACTTCAATGCCTAGTCCGTGTTTACTGGTACCTATTATAATATGGCCAATGATGATTTAAGCCCTTGTTTCAGAAATGAAATTGAGCTATCCATGATATGGGATCACACAATCAAATTCCAAATATTACTATACATCCTACCAAAATTATTTAATTAAATGTTTTTACAAATGATTAATTCTACTATAAATTGAATAAATAAATAAAATAGTAATCTCAATGAAAAGAAGCCAAAAGTTATTTGAGTGAAAATTCTATAATCAATATACGAATAACACAGTTTGAAAATAGAGAAAGCTTCATTAATAAAATAAATCATAAATAATTTAATAGATAAAAATGATTTTGATCTACATAATATTAATAATATATATTTTTTAAACATTGTCACAGAAACTCAATTAACTTATAGGTTTGAGACTTATTGAACTTATATGAAAAAATAGTTTCAGACAATGAGTACTTACTTTTATATTGCTGATACCACCAATATAATGTGTCTTACACTGGAGAAATTCAAGTTCAGCAATAAATTTAGAGCATATACTCATTAACATTTACATGATTAAAAATAAAATATATGTAGACTTGGAGTAGTATGACATTTACCGTGTTATTCAATCATCTCTTTTTAAAAAAATCTAATTTCTAGGAAAATCTTTTCTTATTCTAAGTGCATTGAAGTGTTATAAAAAAAATTATTATTATATAGCAGTCAGTAATGTAACTTATTACATTACACAATTATAATTGTTTTGTCCTCCCACAACAATATATTCAATCACACAAAGCGATCAACACATTAAATAGTTAACATTAGAGGCACAGTTTGGCACTAAATACGTACACAGATTTTAAACACACTGTAGTTCATGTTAAACATATTTTTTAGCACAGATATATAGTTTTCTATTATATTTAATAAAATATAATAATGTACAAGAATAGACATTAGTGATTCTTAATTCACAGATCGGTGGTTAAGGCAAGCTTTCGTTAGTAAACTGGATTTCTTTTTTTAGAATTAAAATAAATGGCATTGCTTGGCATTATAAATCTGTACATTAAGTGAAATTCACTTATTGTAGGCCAAAGAATGCAAATCTCATATTATATTTGAATACAGTACAGTATTATGTTAATGTGAAGTTTTATCTTGAGCTTAAATCCATGAAAAGCCATGAATAAGGGGAATAAACATTTCTTATCATTTTTTTTTTTAAAAACTGCGGGGATGAATGGGATTTCCAAAATACATGCACATATTTTTATAATATGATGACAATATAATGACATGTTTGAGTTTAAAATATAAAACAAATACACATATTTAGGAGGGAAAAAATTGGTCTCTGAGCAAATAAATATTTTTTAAAATTAAATGTTTAAAAAAAAAAAAAAGTATGTGCAACCAAATAGAATGTGAATAGAAAAAGATAATGACAGCAAACTATAATAGTTGACCCGAATGACAAAATCTTGACTTAGCATTCAATACCATAGTGCAAAAGCAGCCTGACAGAAACCCAGTTTGAACTACAAATATAAAAAAGTCAGTAAAAATACATTGAGCACTGCAGGTTAACAAAATAAAATTAAAAAATTGAACAACATGAGTATAAAGATCTATGACTAGGTGTTGCTGTTATATAAATGCAATATAATACAATGATACATGTAAGACAATACAGATGTTTGGGTGACCAGAACTGAGCTGGTAATGACTTAGAGACAAATCGAGGTCTGGAGAATAATGATTTTGCTTGTTTGGATTAAAGTTATTTCAGAAATTATTAAAATTGTTAAACTAAAACCCGGACTCCACCACACAAAAAAAAAGATAATTAAAATTACATCTCTAACGAGTCAAGTTTACATATGACAAGAAATGGAGTGTTAAATTAGTTTGGGGTAAGGGGCAATAAAGTGTACAAAGATTTAGAAACAAGTCCACATCTTATATCAATCGTATTTAGTAGTTGCCTTAGTATTTCTTGAGCCCAGCCGTAAAGTTTGCATTCACCAAAAAGAAATAAAATGTTAATTCGGGTTCAAAAAAGTTAATGAAAATAATTATTTTATTATTACTATTTACATAATCTATTTCTATATAGGTGTGAATAACATCAACATTTTATTTATGTAATCTATCTGTTAATTGATTTACTCCATGGTCTAAAAAATAACAAAAATAACCATCAACACTGTCAATGACACCCAGTTTGTAGCACCTTTAAAACAATCTCAGTTTGGTAGAATGGCTGGCCATTAATATCAGCAGCTGAATAGACTACAATATCTATGATATTTTGCAATACTAATCGTGTGTTTTGTTATTTCTAAAATGAATCCATTACTAATTGGAGGTATAATGTTAGTAGTACTATAGTAATTAATGATGGTGTAAAGGGGGGGGGGGGAGAGAGAGAAAGAGAAAGCCACCAAAAGACTGAACAATGTAACATTTGCTGATAATTTCTTAACAAAATGTTTTGATAATGATATTTTGCAATACTAATCGTGTGTTTTGTTATTTCTAAAATGAATCCATTACTAATTGGAGGTATAATGTTAGTAGTACTATAGTAATTAATGATGGTGTAAAGGGGGGGGGGGAGAGAGAGAAAGATGAAGCCACCAACAGACTGATCAATGTAACATTTGCTGATAATTTCTTAACAAAATGTTTTGATGTAGTTAACTTGTACTAAGGTTGTCAGGGCTTGTGGTTTTCCCAATGGCATTTTTTTTTTTAATGTAATTTTGTTTAAAAAGCAAGTTGTTTTGGTTAAGTCAGTGTGAAAAAACCAGACAACCCTATCATGCAGATATAGGTTTTTAAGCATTTGTGATCAAGTAAATATGTATATCGAGAATAACAGGTTTAAAAAAAAATAATAATAATAATTTAACAATAGATGTGTCCAAATAAAGACTTGATGTGAAAAGCTTTTAAAAGTTAATGTTCTCTCCCCAAACTCACATTGCATGTGAGATTATTTATTAGATTTTTTTCCCCACTTTATTTAATTTGTTTGATTTTTTTATTATTTTTAACTTAAACATGAATAAATTGAACAAAGAAATTTAATATAAACTGTCAGTTCAGGCATTTAAATTATGTAATAAATAAATGTTGGCATAGTAAAGTTAAATTTCAGACCAACCAAAATATTTAGAAAGTTGACTAGATCTTCACAGGCATAGACAAACAGTAAACACATTTTTGAGGTCTTACTATATACCGGTATTCCAAATTTGTATAAATAGAAACTTTTATAATTATTTTTTATGTATAAACAAAATATTTTTTAAAAATTCAAAGGGAATTTTCATTTGTAGTTAAATTATTTTCTGTTTTGTAACCACACAGCATAAAAAAGTATTCCAGAAAGAGACAGGTCAAAGCAACTTAGAAAATAAAATGCACACAGGTGGTGATGCGGAACCCATAAAGGGAAAGAGAGAGTAGGAGGCCTAAGATTACGTGGAGAACATGCCTGAATAGAGAATCTGAAACTGTCAAGGACAGAATTAGAGAGAATGGTGGCAGACACCAGGAAGTGAGATACTTGATGGCATATGTCCCTCTATAAGATGATGATTTCATAAAGAGTTTAGTCAGAAATTTTTATAAAGAGTTAAGTTGAAACATGTTCTTTTCCATAAAAAAAGGTGTCTTAAAATCCTTCCCATCATTAATTACTTTTACATACCTGTATAAAAAAGAATTTAAAAAAAAATTAATTCTATGACAAGTTGAACCTCTAGCACTAATGTAACTGCTAATTATAAGTTGAGAACTTTAATAAAAATAGAAACAGATAATTTTTGCTATTGAACATGAAAATATTAAGCAAAAGTGGGAAATGGAAAATTCAGTTGGTGAATATTCAGATTCAAAACTCAAATATTGTAAGGATTACATAATAAAAAAAAAAAGAAAAATAATTAGGTCTTTGATTTCAAATTTACACACACACAAAATGTCCTTTTGAATTACTTCCAAATTCTTTTCTTCTCTTGACTTTAATATAAACTTTTGAAATTTACTTTATTCAATAATCACAAGATAGCAAGACTATTCATTGTACAATTATCCATATAACTAAAGTCTGCAATAAATTGAGCGTTATCAGTAATTCTATTCAATATTAATTTCAATCACATATTTTTGCATGGAAAGAATTAGCCACACACGGGAATAGGGATTTATAGGTGTCTTCTACAAAACAAAATAAAAAACAACACTCAAAAACACGTAAAACCTGGTTGAGTCTGAGCAATTTAAATGTAACTATACAATGTCTACCAACATAATAACATACCTTGGTGCAAAGTAAGGTCACTAAATTTAACAATACAGTTAGGAGTATAGCTATTTTTTTAAAAAGATTCTTAGAAGATTTAATGAATAGGAAAATAATTTGGCTTTTCATCAAGGCACTGTTAAAAAAATTATGACTTTTGATTTTGGCAAAGACAATATTTTAATAAAAGGCAACTAGAACAATGATGGCACTTGGTTAATGGATATGTCCTCTATTTTTGCTCACACCGAGTGTCTTATTTCAACTTAAAATATTTTTTTTAAAAAGGCTTTTACATAGAGGCATCACAAAATGATAATTTGCCTGGACAATAATACTTTTAATTTTAAATCAGTTCAAAATTCAAACATTGTTATATTACTTCTTTTTCTATCTCTTAGCTAAGAAAATCAGTTTAAATGTCCATGTCCAAAAATTATGTAATATTTAAAAGGTTATTACCTAGTCAGAGAGTTAATTTATATGATTACCTGCACTTAGCAACCCTTGTTTCATATATGATTCTATACAGCTGCTAGTTTATTAATGATGAGTTTATAAAATCTGCACACATGAAAATTAAGGACAGTCTTTTAAAATGCTTTTAACATACATAACCATTACCAGCAATGCATTTTTAAATAAGAGGAAACCTGAATTATTTCAAAGGTACTTTTCAACTAAGAGATTGTAAAATTATTTTTATATATAAGTGAAAATCTAAATTATGCAATATTTTAAGGATCATTTCAATGAATATTAATAATTGAGAGTATTATTGTAAAAACAAGCTTATGAGGTAAGGAAATGTGCAACTTATAATATTAACTAACCAGAACTACAGTGGAAAAAAAATCAAATTTCTTGCATGTCAAATTTTGTTGGTGAAAATAGAAAAAAGGTAAAAATAAATCACAGACTTTTTCCCCCCTTTGTCTCCATGATGAACATGTTTTCAGTTTTGACACAATTTTCACACTTCAAACATAACTAAAACAATACATTTTGGTTCAGTAAGAGGTACATAAATACTGTGAGTACAATAATTCTCCAACTCCCCCCCCCACCAAAAACCTGACTAGTCATTCATTGAGCTCTTCATTTTGTTTCACAAAAATTAACTACCGGTATCTAGACACAAAAGTGAAGTTCCGAATCCATGCAAACAAGATATAAAAAGCCTGGTTAACTTTAATTACAGCCTCACTATTGAACTTTTGCAGCCAGTGCTCAAGTCTTGTAGGAACGCATGAAAATGGCGTTCATGAACTTTTTTTTTTTTACTTGCTTAGAAATAATACATATTTTAGCCTCTTGTTTTAAATTTCCAATGTCAACTTGATATCAAGACATTTGATTGAACTTATACACATATACATAGACATATATTAGTTAGTTTTGAGCAATTGAAATACAGTAGAATATTATGAATTACTGTTTTTAAAAAAACATGATCCAAGACCAACAACAAATAATTGAATATTATGAATTATAGTAAGAACTTACATATAAATTGTTAAAATACAAAAAAATATTTTGAAAAAAAAATTTTAAAATTGCATGATACAATGAGCACCCTGTCAGAGAATACAACTGAAACATTAGTCGGGATCAAGTTATGTAGAATAAGGCTTGAATAACGAGAGACATCTATTAAGTACAAGACTCTGACCGAAATATTGCTGGTGCTCAAAATGAGTTAAAAAAAGTAAAATAATCAAAATAGCATGTCAGATTGTCACATGGATGAGACCAGATACCTCATGGCAAGGTGTAAAACTAAATCTTTTGTCATGGATTTCTTATACAAAAATTATTTTTTTTTAAAAATTAGAATGTAAAAAAAAAAAAAAAAAAAAAAAAACAAAAAAAAAAAAAAAAAAAAAAAAAAAAAAAAAAAAAAAAAAAAAAAAAAAAAAAAAAAAAAAAAAAAAAAAAAAAAAAAAAAATTATTTTTTTTTAAAAATAAAAAAAAAAAAAAAAAAAAAAAAAAAAAAAAAAAAACTCAAGCGGCAGCAAAAATTAATTGCATGACAATGAAAATGGTAAAACAACAAACAAAAAAAGGGGAAAAAATTAAGCAATGGAGAAAACAAATGGTGAGAACTATATAAAGCAACATATAAAAAGTGAGCTTTGTGACTAGAAGCTGATATCAGTAACAACAAGAAAATAAACAATGGCAAAATAATGCAACAACAAGTGACCAGAAATAACAAATAAATATCTCAGTGTAAACAACAGGTTTGTTATTTAAAACAAACTACAACGTGATCAGGCATTTGGTATTACCAACAGTAGGTAGGTAGGTAGGGACTCTCAGACAGTTTGGGAACCATCAATTGCATGCTGCAAGATTCAACTCTTTTTTTAAACCAAATCATTTTAAGTTGAAAAAGGCCCAGGCTAATGTTGAATTTTAAAATCACTAGTATTCTCTTATTTATTAATAACCTATCAATACATATGTTGTGTAAATGTGCATAATCTAATTTTCTTTTTCTTATTTTGCAATTTTTCTATTCATCCAACCAAAACCATACTAAAAAAAATTAATTAATTGAACTTAAGTTTGTATAATCCTCTTATAAACTTAAGTTATTCTTTACATACTGTACATTAAAAGATTTAAGAATATACAATTATTTTGCGCAAAGTTCCCAGTTCGTATATAGTACAAGAGATCAATTTTTGTAACACAATTCATCTTATAATATTTAGTGAACTGTTCATGTAATGTGAAAAGATAGGATATTTCCTCTATTTGAAAATTTGTTAGTAAAATGATTTAAAAATTGTTTTTTAACTGTGGGGGAGCGCTTAATTTTTTTTTAGATTTCCAAAAATATTTTTTGAATATAAAAAACCTGGATTTAAACCCTCAAAAAATTAAATGATGGGAACATATCTTAAGTAATTGCACTTAGACAATCAACAAATGTTGATTGGTATGATAAGAACTCTTAAAAGTTCTTTATCATTGTACCAACAAAACTAGAATGCAAACATATCAATATGAATTTTAGGATTTTGAGCAGCTGAGATCCTAAAGTAGTCATAGCTCTGCAAATCTACTACAAAAGTGAATATTTGCTATCCATTTAAATTTTGGCAATGGGTGAAGCGCAGGTAACATGAGCCAGTATGTGAGCACCAAGTTGTCAACCAATGAACAAACAGATAAAACAGACTGAGATATTAAGTTTTAAGTGCACAGACACAAGTTACAACAACCAGACATGAAGTCGCTGCAAAGCCTTCAGGGCTGCAGAGCAGGCAAACAGAGTAGCTATCTTCTACTGCAGGTCAACATCATCATCTACTGGATTGCCATCCATGTCATCATCATCCTCACAGGCTCGCAGGTTGGGGGTCAGATTACCAGAGACTGGCTCTCGATACTTGCTTGAAGGCCCTGTAGCCAAGCTGGGTCGTACTATAGCTGAGCCATATCTCTTACGGCAGATAGAGGGGTTGAATGGAAAGATGCCTGCTTTCCTAAAAGTGGAGTGTAGATTTTCTGCTGACATGTTGCGATGGTAAAGACGGCACAAAAACTCACAGATTGAGGATGATGATATAGAGGCTGTCTCCGATGAGTAAAGGGGTTTCTGCAATTCATAGCAGAGCTCACGCTGAAAGGTGTTGCAGCATCCTACAGCCATGGGATGGAGTTGGGGGTTGAGTGTGGTTTGAGCCGTCACAAACACAACCTTGAATGCAGAGCCAAGGTCAATTACTGCCTGGTTCAGGCATCGGCCAAGGTTTGAGTCCAGCAAGAGGACAAGTGTGTCCCCTGATCGACCAGGAGCTTGTGACAAAAAGTGCTCTCTTAAAAAGGACACTAAGACTTCAGGTGTGGCCCGCCCAGATGAGCATGCAATGCCTCCTGCACCAGGGGTGACACCAGACAGAACTGATTTATCCAGGGTCTTCCCAGAGAAAATAAGAAAAGGAGGCAGGGCTTGGCCAGCAGCACTTCCACAAAACAGAATGGTTGATGGCACTTTGCCCAAGAAAGTCAGCTTCTTGTTCAACTTACTACTGCCATTGACGCTTCCACCATTTAGACTCAGATCTTCTGGGACAGATATTTCTCCATTTTTCAGCATTGTCAAGGGTAGCTCCACTAGGCTAAAGATGCAATGTGGGCTCTCTTTCATGTTGTATGTGGTTAAAATCATGTCAAGCTGGTTAAAGTGCTGCTTTTCTGGTCTTTCATTTTTGGTCTTTCTGGACTTTCGGATGTAGCACTCTGGGTGGCGTGTCAGAAAACTGCGGAACCATTTAACAGTCAGAGGTCTACCTTGGGGTCGTTTCCCAAGATGCACAGCATATTCTGAAGCCATTTTAACAACATCAAGCCTAGTGTACTTCATCCCCTGCTCCTTCCACTGCTTTAGCTGAGTAGCAATGTTAGTCTCTTCAGACTCTGAGAAAATAGGCCGCCTTCCTTGTATGATGACATCATTTTCTGGAATAGCAGGAGTTGGAGGATCATCTAGCAGCTGTTCAGGGGAGGCAACTGATCCATTACAATCTTCATGGCTATACAGCTCCAACATAGGCCCCATGTCCATCACCATTTCTTCTCCATTCTGATGAGTCTCAAGTTTATGCTCAAAAAAATTTAGTTTTAACTTTTGGGAATCAATATCTCCATCTACACAGTCCTCTCCTTCCCATTCAACATCACTGGCATTAGATGGAACCAGGGCTATGGGATTACATGTACTGTTCAAATCTCTGACTTCTACTTTCTTTTTCACATGTTGAGGTTTGGTCTGCAATAAAAAGAAAAGATTTTACTTCATTTCTCAAGGTTTGCTTTTCAGATTAAATAAAATTTGGATTAGACGTTAAAATTAACATTGGCATTTATGTTATTTGTTATCTTTTCTCTATCTGTCTGTCTTCTAGCTGTTTTTCCTAAATGTGTTATACAATATTAAAATGTTATTATGTGAAGAGATAAACCTAAATCAGCGATTAAAAAAATTAGAGTTTTTTTGTGAGTAGTTGGTTCCTTTGATAAAATTACAATACACTTTTGTTTAACGACTCTTCAAAAGAACTATCTAGCTTCCTATCATTTATGTTTACATTATGTATAGAAAATATTTGTGCCACAATTTTTATTTGTAATTAAGCTGTGTTTAAATAAATTCTTGAATATTTAAATAAGCACTATCAAGTGAGGAAATAAAATTAACAAATAGATTTTTTTATTAAAAGTTTAAACTAAACAGTAGGAAAAAAATATTGAGGTCCATTTTACACAGTTCATATTAAGACATCTGGGTAATATGATTTCTTTCCCCTCAAATCCTATCCTAGACTTTTGAGAGAGTCGGATTGTTTAAATGTCATTATGGAGTGGTAAAAAAAAGAGTTACATGCAGCTTAGGAGCTAGAGCTGCAGGTTGCCGACCACTGCCTTGGTCAATAAGCATTCTATTTTTATTATCAAAGACAAAGAGATTAATTTCTTATGCTTATAATTTAACAAAATAAATTACTTGTTATTTTTATTTGATGATCATTGGAAATGGTCCAGTAGTAATTTTATTAAGTCATTTTGGCGAATGATTTGGCTGTTTCAGACAATCCAAGACCAGAAAACTCATCTGTGTTTAGGAAAGGGAAAAGTACTCTCCCCAAACGTGATAAATGGCATATTGCCCAGATTATCTGAATTTACTGATTATTGAATCATTGCTATCAGAGCCTTCCATAAATAATTTCACGCGTCGGGGGGGGGGGGGGGGGG